GCACCTTCATTTGAATGAGTAAAAGTTTGTGACTGCTCTTCAAAACATTTTAATCCAAGTGTTACAAAGCACTAAATGTGTTCTTATTGCCTGGAAACATTGAGGATTTCTTTTTGTGACTAATGTGTGTAGGAGATTGCAGACCATGTGGATTAGTTAATGGAGTCAGGAACAGGAAGGGAGGATGTAGGCATGGAAATATGATCACACCTGGACTGGAGCTTAAAGGGGCTTTTCTGCAGCAGTGCTGTAGTGAAAATTAACTCTCAGCACTTCCAGGCCTGGACACCAGATTTTAATGGCAATATTTTCCTCTAGTCTGGGGAAGGGGAGCTAAGGAGTCCTCCCAAGGTGATGCATATTTTGAGGAGAAAGGGATTTGAAGCAATCTGTAGCTTTCTCATAACAAACACGGAGTTAATATGACCAAATTACTTAAGGACTCTGTGCTGTATCCCAGAAGTCTCTATGAGCTGTTGTGATTATTGTTATTTGCTGAACTTTCTTGCAGGGCGAGTCCTTCCAGGAACTGAGCTGCTTTTGGACTTGGTGAAGCTTCAGAGATAGACAGGAGTCCTGTAAAGCAGAGATAGAGGAGTTTAAGCAGTTGAGGAGATCAAATATACAAAGAGGATGTTTGAGACTCACTTCAAACATACAGGAAAAGACTGTTACAGGCATTCCATGGCCTTTCTAATCTTACAGAAATATTTAAAACAACTAAACTGCCTTTCCAGAAATCTTCTCTTGTTGTCATGTTATTGTTCTGTTTGTTCTTCAGATGCTGTTGCTTTCCTGCCTAGAAAGAAGATTAAATTATTTTTATAAAAGTAGAAAAGTTTCTTCTCGTGGAGAGAAGAATTTCAGAATCTTATTACATTTCCTTGTACATTATACAAAAAATGATAAGGAACAAAATAAATATTTTATACCTCTGGGAGATTATCTTAAAAAAAAAAACCAGCAACAAAACAAAGACAAAACAACAAACCTAACTCTAAAACCCAGAGAAACACCTGGAAATTGTTTTGCTAGAAGAGAATTAAGCACATGTGGACTCCCTTTCTGTGCCTTATTTTCTTTACAAACACTTTAATAAGAACATCAGTCTCTGGTCTTTGTCAGTTAATTATGCTTAAATGTAAAACTGAAAATACTGTGCCAAAAATCTGGTAATGTTCCGTTTCAATTTAATATGACTTAGTTGAGGCAACCAAACCTGTCATGGTATATTCATACTGACTTAAATCTTTGAAGAGAAATGTTAATTCAGCAGACTTCCAAAAATAAGTAATTCTGAGCAATTTAGTGTTGTAAAGGTGGTATTAGTTTGGTAGTTTGAATAAAATTAATTAAACAAAAAGCTGTAAAGACCTCAGTCCTCCAAACATAGTTGATGAAGTGCCTGTTTTTCTCTTTAGCATTTGTCTTGCACTTCCATACTTAAAATTTAATATCTGATCTCAAGCTATGATCAAAACTCTTCCTTTGCTGTGCATTTTGAAATTTTTATAGAAGTAATAAGTTGGCATTCTGATAAATTATAAATTAAAAATATTTTTTCTTTTACATTTTCATCTACTTACAGAGTCTTGGTTTAATGTTCCTTCGACAGCTGATTCTCAGTGTGTAACTGTCACAGTTGATACTGAAATGGTAAAAGATCCTTAACTAAGAACAGAGCATTCCTTCAAATCCTGGGAAATGTCACTTGTGTGCATTAAAAAAAAAGCATACAAAATAGCATAAGCTGTTTTCCTAAAAAGTTTAAAAAGTGTGACAGTGGGTACTAAAAGTCATTGTATGACTTGGTTGGACATCCCATTAAGTTAATCTTTCACTTCAATTGAAAGGTTTTATGTTTTCATCACTCTTAAATTGCTCCTTTTCAAATTATCTGTGCTTCAAAGGAAGGCAAAGAGCTTTGGTTACCAGCAGCTTTGTCCCTCTCCTGCCTCACTGTGCTGTAAACTGCTGCACTAATTTGCTTGTTTAGGGCAAAAGAAAATCTCATCCAAATTAGACTTAAATTCAATTGTTGTTTTTATTAACTTGGCTTAAGGAAGGAGGGTCTCAGGATGGGAAGGTGGGACAGAGGAAGAATGTTCTAGCTTTTAGCTCCTTGTGCCTTAGCCAGGAGAAGGGAACTGAAGGCAATGATTTGCCCCTGCATTTTGGAAGCCCCTTTGTCATTTGTTCACAAAGATCCTCTTAAAGCAGATTCCTTGATTTTCCAATACTGGTTTTGATATCAGCAGTTCCAAAGGGAATGGACAGAGCTTAGCAAAAATTATAGATATCAACCAAGGCTCTCAAGGCCAGAACATGTTGCTGTGTGTTGGGATGGTGACAGATTTCTCTCTTTCCATGGCATCATTTGCAGAAACTCGTGCAATGAGAGGCCTGGTTACAGCTGCTTGCTGTTTGCAATGCTTTGGGACTCGACCAAGTCTCTTCAAATTGAAAGCTTTGATTTAATTTTACTGTGCATGCAGTGTCGTTCCTCTGCTTGGATCTGTGGAAATCTGGCTTATGCCAAACTGCTGATGCTCAGGATAGGGTGTAGAGCTTGGAACCAGGCTTTGAAACCTCTTAATTAGGGTGCATGCAAAGGTGTCTTTGGCTCTGATCACCTGGCATGATTTAGTGTTACAGAAAGTGAACTTCTCCTTACAGGGGATTAATACCCATGGACTTTATTTTCTGTCACACATCTATGCTGCTCCACTTAGAAGTAAAATTAAAAAAAAAAAAAAAAGCCGTTTAATGCCAATAAAACATTGTCCAGAACTCAGTGCAAACCTAAAGCTGCCAATTGCTGGAACTGAGATTGGAAGCTGATTGTTGGTTTGAATGGCTGAACAGATGAGGATGATTGTTTTTTATTGGAAATCAGTCAGGAGCTGTCATTACTAGAAATCTGTGGCTTTTATAGTACTCATTTTACTACTATATTAGTTTCAGTTCCTGATCTCAATCCTAATAGATTATGGTATGAATTTCTGAAAAACAAAGAAAAAAATCAAGGCAGATACTTTTTGTACATTAAAAAAAGAATCTGTAAAATTATTTCAGTGGTGCAGGGACTAAACACTTGTATTGGGGGCTGGCACTCAACATAACCAGAGAGCTGCCTGCTACTAACTATGCTTATGATAAATCTGCTATATTTGGGTGATTTATTAGAAGCTTAGAACTGCATTTTTCAGAGCCTTATAGACTTGGCATTACGCTGTACAAAGATTTTTCCTGTGGAAATCACTGTGTCTGCCTACAGCTTCTTTTTGCCAAACAGCCTAAGTGTGCCCAGACCATTTCCCTGGTGTTGCCTCTGATGCCCAACCATTGGTAGCCCTCAAATTAAGGATCCCTTCAGGCTCAGCTACAAAATTTTGAAATGTTATTTAATGCTGCAACACAATTGAAAATCCAGGTGCATGTTGGCTTAAAATTCACTTGTCTCTGCTAACAGAATTTTATTTTTAGATGTTTTAGCCAAGCTATCTCCAGGTTGTGACTTGGTTTCTTCTCATAATTCCCTTGGCTACTGAGTGTGATGGCCTATCCTGACTGATTTTTTTGCTGCAATCTGTGCCTCCATTATCTGATGGGAGAACACTTCCATCTGTTTAATTCTATATTGACTATGAAGACTTGGATGTAACACAAGTGGTATTAGAAGCCTCAAAATTTTCTGCTGAGGAGGGATAAAGGTTTGTAATTCTGGAAGTGAAATGCAGGAATCTTTCAGCTGGGATTGCCAGAATCGAATCCTATCTGCACCAACTCAGCGTTTAACTAATTTTCACTCAACTGGAAGTGACAGATAATTAGAGAGAAAAAGTGATGCTTTTTTTTTGATGTGAGTAGTTGGCTGAAAAATATTTTCCTCAGAGAATGGGCTTCTCTAGTCCTAGATCCAGTCAGCATCCAATGATCAAGCTTGAGGTACTTGTCCCTGTTCAATTTTTGAGTGGCAGCCTCATTCCAGCGCTGTATTTCAATACTGTAGACTCTGACCAGGCCTAGTTTATCTGCCAGCAGCAGTAGAACCTTGACTTGGTTTTTGGGGGACATGATAGACTGTGTTTCTGCAGATTTCACTGCTGCAGAACTGACTTCCCACTTGCTCCCTATGAAAAACCCTTTCAAGGTCTAGGTTACTCTTGCCCTTTGTGGGTGCTGCATCTTGGTGGAGCAAAGGGATGTATGTACCCAGTTCATACAGGGATGCCCTTTCCAGCTTCCTTTCCTTTGGCAAGTGTGATAGAGATGCTTCTATTTTAGGGTGGGAAAACCTTTCTGATGGCTCAAGACAAATTCTTATTTTTATGACTTAAAGAGAGACCTCTGAAAGAACAGATTCCTCCTGCAGAGGCTGTTGATGTGGTCTCTGGAACTGCAGACTGGAGTTAACTTGATTCCATTCCATTACCTTTAAGCATTTGTCATTGGATTTGATGAAAAAATAAACCTATTTCTGACAACTGCAGAGTCGTTGCTAGCAGGTCTGTGGAAATCTCTGATCCCTTTGACAAGAAAAGGTTATCAGTGACATCTGAAGTGCTACCCAGAGCTGGGGGATTCTGGTTTTTCTTCTTATGGCTCTGGAGTCATGGTGTGTGTGAGGGACTCTGAAGTCAGCACGCTGGTAACTCTGTGGGAACAGTGCTTTGAGTCACCTATGATGTACCTGAACGTCTACACTCTCAGAGGGTGTTCAGCAGTAGCCAGAGTTGCTGAATTGTACAGTCTGCATTTAGAGTTATTTTCTCCTTTTCTTACCCTCTTACTACTAATCCTGTGCTCATACTAGGATGCCTTTTGATTTTATGTGAGCTGGACAGGCTGCAGCTCTGTGTTCTAAGGGACTGCAACAGGTTTGGCCCCAGGAAATCACCTTGGCTGCTTTTGGTGACACCTGTTCTGTGGCTGTGTATGGAATATAGATTTGCAACCAATGATTCGTTAAAAGTTTTTATTTTGTTTTAATTGTGTAGGACACCTGATGATCTCTCGAGACAGATTGTGGCCCTGCAGCAGCGGGAGCTTGCCCTGAAAGAGCAGAATTCCACCTTCATGAACAGGTGAGTGACTCCAGGAGGGGATGCTGGTAGCAAGATCCTGCTATGTTAAATCACAGAGAAAGGAAACGAGGACAGCAAACTGAGAGAGCAGCTCTTCATATTTCCTTGATGTTCCATGGTGCCTTCTGAGCCACCTTCTATTCTTTCCCATGTTGATAAAGGGCTTTCTGCTTACTGAAATCCTTGCAGGAAGAACAAGATGAATAACTGTGGGTGATGCAGTGAAGAGTTAATCAAGCTTTGTTATGAGCTGCAGTGTTTGCAAGGGGAAGTGAGCTGCTTTCCCCAGACCATTTCATCTGGAGAGGAAATGTCACAAAGCAAAATGTGCCAAGTATCCATCTGGGTATGGGAAAGGGAGTAGGAGCTCTGAGGACTGTGACTGCTGAAAGGACCAGGGTGTAGAGATGGTGCAGGAAAAGGATGTTTGCAGTTTTGGTGGCAAAGTACTGCCAGGCTTTGAGAGGAGCAGTCTGTTTATGGAGTGAGATGAATTTTTGAAACATGAGGGTGTTTAAACCATTGCCCTCCTGTGGGAGTGAATATGTAATGGGGAAATGAATTTGCCAGAGCTAAACTTTCCAGACTGTACCACAGCCTTTCTGAGCACAGTTCCACAGCCAGACAGTGTTTCTCACCCTCAGTGCACATCTTCTTGCTTCCCTCCCTGTTTAATTCCACACATTAGGAGCCCTTTGTTAAAACCATTTATGTTAAAAGCAATACCTCTGTCTTTCAAAAAGACCCTGGACTGTTTGCACTGCAGGGTTGTAGCTGCCATGGCTGAGCAACAGGAGTGTGGAGAATTTCAGCCTTTGGTGTAAAAATGCTGAATGTGAAGCAGTTGAGCTCTGGGTGGGCACACTTAGCTTGTGGTGGGCAGCATTTCCTGATGTGTCTCCTGAGGTAGGTGCTGCATTTTGGTTCAAGAGATGATGTGTTTTTGGGCTCCACCTTCCTAATGATGGGCAGGATTTAAGCAGGGTGTTAAAAATTTCGGCTGTGCTGCTGCTGTTAATGAAACTGTTTAGTCACTTGTAAAACGGTTAGCTAAGTGTAAATTCCCAGGAGTGAGCCAGCCAAATTGTTGTGTGGTTTTTGCTGTGAGGTTTACAGGGGAGGAAAAAAAAAAGTCACCAATATGAAAAAGACATTCTGTGTATTAAAAATAAATCAAGCAAACCATCAAACCCACAACTGATTAAACGATCAAATAAAAGAATGATGGTAGTGATTGAGCTACAGATTTGGGGTGGATTTTTTTTTTTTTTAGGCTGCTTCACAGCTTCTCAGAGAAGTTATTTTTCTATATTTATTAACGGCCAAGGGGAATCATCTGTTGAAAAAGCAGCCTTTTGGTAGTGCCTGTTCATCTAGATATAATTGTGCCAATTTAGTTTAAAAATAAAAACATGATTAAAATTACTTTTTGATTTCAAGTTAAATGGGCTGTAAAGCTGCTCAAATTAAAATTCTAACGTTTTCCTGATGCAATGCTGTGTGTCATTTCTGAAACTGATAATGTTGACTTTCTTCTATCACATACCTTATTCTGTCTTAAAAAGAAGGCAATAAGATAAATTTTTAAAAACCTTTCATTACAGGTGATTTGAAAGTTTCCAGCAGAAGGTTTTGAGTTTTTTGGAAATAAAACCTTGTTAAGGAAGCAAACCTAATTTTCTCCTTTCCATAAATCTTTTCCAGATTTAAAGGAGATGTTCCTTTCCTTTATTTGTTTCATAATGGTGTTCAGAATTGTCTGTGTATTAGAGTAACTTAATATGTGATCATGCCTCCCTCTAGTGATGGAGCCCAGCACTTATTCAGCTTTCTATTGTTTTTTCTTTCAGCCACAGGTTCTCTTGCCCTTAGTTGAAATATGTTGTCTTTGGTGCTGGTAGTGCAATGTTTGATTTATAAAGTCAGTGGTTATGTGTGTATAGAGCAATATGCTGTACAAACACCACAAAATTTGTGTCTACCCTAAGAACTTCTGAGTTTTCTTGACTAAAATTAATGAATTGGCACTTGCTTAAGAAAACATCATCACAAGTTGGCATCTGAATTTATTTTTATGGCAATGAAGGAGAGAGTCACAGTCCTGGCTCACCTGTTGCTCAGTGCAAAACTGTGTTTGGTAGAAGAGATTTTTGAGTGTCATGGTAAAGAGCATTATGTGCTCCCCTTCCCTACCTGGCAGCTCTTGAGTCTTTGTGCAGAGGATGTGTGTGTGCTCATCACCAAGCCTTTAAACTCAGGAGAGGGGCTGGTTTGCAAGCTGATTTTTCTCTCTCTGTCTTTACACTGCAATCACCTTGGTTTGTATTCCCAGTGATGCATTCCCACATTGTTCAGTGACTGGGGCAGACACTTGCCAGCTGCTATTTCTGCTTCCAGTGTCCTGTAGCTGATCTACAATGGGGAGTTATGGTTGATAAACACCTTTTCCAAATGACTTCACTAAACAGAAAATTTATTTTTTCTCATTTTTGCATTCTTGACTTTCTTTCCATTTATTGCTGTGCATTTTTTAGAGCCAGTGTTTGTGTAATTAAAAAGGCAATAGAGGTGATCCCACCACAAAGAGACAGCATCACTACAAACCCACCTTTGCAGTGCTATTTCCCTGCGTGGGGATCTGCACTGCAATCTGTGTTTTGTGTGCCTGTGCAGTTGCCAGTGTCTCCAGACCTCCCAGAGACCAAATGATGATGCATATCCGATTTGCTCCATCACTCACATTGGACACTTTTAGACACAGAACCACAGGTCTGAATTTCCTGAGCAGTAGGTTAAAATCAATTTCTTTTAACAGTGATTGTTTACACGTCTGAGTTGTGTAGACTCCCTCGGAGCTTGCTATTTTTGCTAAGGGGAGAAAACCTTCCTGTGGTGCCAGCATGGGGCAAGAGGAGAGGGTCACTTTAGCACTGAACACATGGGCACAACTCACTTCTCTTGGCAGCCTCAGGATGGCTGAGTAATGTAGCTGAAAGTGCCATTAATCGTGCGTGATGGACTCTCAGTGCTGCTTTGGAGTGTGTTGCTAGAATTCGTATAAATAGAGTAAATTACACTTGCAGCAGCAGGAAGTGTCGTGGAGCTTTTTAACTGCAGAGCACAGATAACAATTCAAAGGTTTCAAAAGCTCAAAAGAAAATTGCTCAGGGCCACTTTGATAGCAAGAATTGTACCTGCTCTGCTGTTTAGGAAAAGGTGATGGAAGGGAGGTGTTTAATTAGTGGGTCAGTTTAACCATGCAGCCACCATTAGTTAAAGCCCATTTTCCCCCCAGCTGTGCCTGCTGTAGGTGTGGTACACTGAAATGTGTTGCTGGTTGTAGTTTGGAATATGGAAAGTCAGCCAAGTGGTTCATAAGCTTTTCTTTTATGGAGAAATGGTGGAACAGTTTATACTATTTTTTGAAGTGAGAAAAGCTGTGTATTTATTGTGCCTCTTTCCCATCTGCATATATGGTCTCTGTGGAGAGATTTCCTCAAACAATCCTGGCAAAGTATTCTAGAATGTGAGATGTTGTCCTATGAGATGGCTCATGTGAAGGAATGATGCTGCTTCGTGGCTTGAGCTTTGCTGCATTTCTGAAAGGCTATGAAAATGCTTACTTGTGGCTCCTCCCAAAGTGATAATTTCTACTTTTGCTCTTGTGGTCTAAGTGCAGTGTTGACTTTGCATCTTGAGATGTCCTGTGGAAAGTCAAATACAAGGAAACACGTAGGTGAAGTTGGTTCTGGGCAGGATGAAGGACACAAGGGGAAATGGAAGAGCAGTAAATCCTTGGTTCTGGTGTTGAGATCCCAGAGCTGATGGCTTATTCCCATCACCTCGTGTCAGAAACCCAGCCATGTGCTTTGACATATTGTTTCATATAGGAAAAGGGACACAGAGAATGTGTTTGAAAAAGAATTTTCCTACTGCAGGTACTCAAGGAGTTCTGTTAAGAGACATGGCTGTTTACCACCTTTATTCATATAAATCATGTAAAACTGATTTACCCAAACAACCTGCTGTGTGTATTGTTGCTTAAAATGAAATAAAACCCCAAACCATTGAAGAGCAGGGAATGTGGATTTCAAATTGAACAGAAAATGCTTTAGACTTGGGCAGCAGGGATTTAAAAAAAAAAAAAAGGCAAAAAGAATGAGTGATGATAAGCCCAGAACTGTCCATCTTCATAAGTGCTGTTAGCTCAGAAGTGTTGTAAATCTATTGCCCAACCTCTCTTTTCCTTGGATGTCCCAATGAATGTCAGTCACAAAAACAAATAGAGCCTGTCAGACTTCTTCCCCTAATCTTCTGCAAAGTTGGACAGAAGTTTAATTACAGTGAAGTCTCTTTTATCTGACAGAGAAAGAAGTGCTAGCTTTTTAATAGGCTTTATGAGTTATTTTGTGATCAAAAGAAGCACTTAATGTCTAATATAGGACTAGGTAGGGATTTTTTTTTCTTCCTTTGTTCATCTGTATGGCACATTGCACCTTGATTTATACGTGGAGGTGTCTATGTACCTAATATCAGACAAATGTTTATTCACAGTGCTTCAGGGCAATATTAACTGCTGGCAGATTCTGCATTCATTTTACAGAGTGAGATGATGAAGAAATGACTGTAGATGCTGCTTTTCCTTTTCTCCAAAATGGATCTTTCCTGCACTTTTATAGCAGAAGGTACTCAATAGTGTCTCATTAAGTGACCAATCTACATATTCATACAGTAAGCTTCTAGAGCAACATCTGGTTATTCATGACTCTAATTAGGTAGGTACAAAGCTTTTGTAATTTTTTTCTATCATATAGTTAGCAGAAAATGGGAAGGCAAAAAATAATTTAGCCAAGACATTGACTTAATGCTTCCAATTTGAAAAACATGGGATTTTGCCCAGACCTTTGCTTTTCATGATTGTGCCATTTTTAGTCTGATTTCCTGAGGAAGTGAGGCTTATTACTGTGCTTTGTGTGTGTATGTAGATGAGATTTGTCTGT